TACGTCATAAATGTGTTCCCCCGTCATTTTTATTTCTAAAATATGAAGTAAAAACTCCCAATTTAATTTTCATTCATTTGTCATTAATATGTGGTCTACACCCGTGCGTTAAGTGGACCATCTTCCAGTGAAAGCAAAGCTTCCATCCAAATGCGTAAAATGTGCACCACAGCCGTTAGGCGCGCCGCGCGCACCATCAGCTACATCAGCCCAGACAAGAGCAGAGCAAATAGAATAGAGGATCATTGTGTCTAGATGTGGATTGAGATTACATTTTACAGCAGCCTGATCATCATTTAAATAAAACCATCACCTGTCTTCTAGTCCATGCTATCAGCATTATTTTAAATGGTGTGTGTGTGTGTGTGTGTGTGTGTGTGTGTGTGTGTGTGTGTGTGTGTGTGTGTGTGTGTGTGTGTGTGTGTGTGTGTGTGTGTGTGTGTGTGTGTGTGTGTGTGTGTGTGTGTGTGTGTGTGTGTGTGTGTGTGTGTGTGTGTTAGACAGTCCTCTCAACTAAACTATATTTGTTCAGTCTGACCAAACATTTACTGTAATTTATCATTTATTCTACACAGAATGAGATTCCAAACTTTTAAATGATTTAAAATTTTCAGACTGATAAAGCAACAATTACTCCTCTGAGATCATTGCCGACATGATTTCTCCCCAACATGTTCTCACACATCCTAATGTTCCAAAACTACCAGCCCAGCAGAACAAACCAGCATAGTTGGTCCCATGCAGGACCAGCATGATAAGCTTGCTGATACACCAGTTAAACCAGCACCAAAACACAACATATTCTCATAACCAACCATGCTAGTTTTTCCCAGCAGGGGAAAGGACTGATTTTTGAGACTTTACTATAATCCATCCAATTCTTCCAGTAGGTTTCAGTAATTCCACATGCTGCATCAGCTTGTATAAGAAAAATTACACTGTTTGATGCCTTTCCTGATGTTTTACACTTCTAAAAATTAACATATAACAGGATGTGTTCTAAAACAATTCTGAGTCTAAACACTTCAGCTTTATCAAATAATAAAGGTTTCTTGGACTGAAAGTGCATCACCGTGAACACAATTCTAAAATGTTGAAACACAACATGAACATTTATGAAAGCCTTGCAGGGAGCCATCAGACATGTTTTATCCCACATAATAACAGTGAAAAGCACTCATATTTGCACCGATCCAAGACGTAAACTGTGTATGTGAAAATAGGCAGACGGTGAAACGTTTTCATCATGTCAGAGCATGATTTAAGCAAAGAGGGCTACAGACGGTCAGCAAAGCAGCAATTGAGCCTCTTCATAAATGTTTCACTGCTCTTTGGGGCGTGTGTGTGTGTGTGTGACTGCATCAGCGAGACAAGCGCGTTTATCTCTGCAACGACATCAGTGTGCTAACAGCTCGAGGGGAAATCAGTAGGCAACACCACTGATGAGAAGACATGCGTGTGTGTGTGTGTGTGTGTGTGTGTGTGTGTGTGTCATTACACAAAAATATGTTGTGTGTGTGCACACTCCACCTCGACCATTCATCCTGCATGGTGGAGGGCTGTGCTGCTCACACCACCTAGTGGCATTAGGGTTTATAAATGTGCCAAAAGTGGAGACTGAATATTTATCATCCATTCACTCTGAACACGATGAAGTGTGACAGAAAACATTGACTAGGTACTTTGTGTTCTGGTGAAGGAGCACTACAGGACAAAAAGTTGAGTTTATCAAAAGTAAAGAGCATGTGCACATGGAAGAGGAAGGGCAGCAAGACTTGTTGAGCCATGAAACCAAAGTGGAAACAGATGGAAAACAAAGGATGAGTGTTGGGACGCTGCTAGAATCCTCAGTAAGCCTTTGGATGTTCAGCTTCAGTACCCGGCTTTTGGTTGACAGGTAGAAACCATTACTCCAGTGCTCTTTGTTGTTTACTCATCCTAGTGGACAATCATTAAACTACAGGAAATGCAGTGTTTTCCGGGTTCTGCATTTACTCATCCACTCTCTTGCCACACGAACTCTGCCGTGGCAGTCCCTGCCTCCCCGGTCTCACGAGAGAAGTGCTACCATGCATGAAATAATGAAGGAAGATGAAAGGCAAAGGTGCCACTTATTAATATTTAAGATTCCTGCTCTCTGGAATTTAAATGTGCCTCAGAACCAGACTTTAATCAGGAATTTGTATGCGATCAATGAGACATAAAGACCTAATTACATGGTATCTGTACAATGTTTGCTGCACAAACATTCTAGTCAACGGTTTAGAGGCTGCCGGCCTGTTGCATCACTGTTAACGCAGATGCTGCCAGAAGCCACAAAGTATTTCCCTAAATTCCCCATCACTCCTCGAGCGAAGTCTCCATTATGCATCAGTCAAACTGCACGGCCGTGACCACAAAGTGCCATTGCCGAGTATTCGTAAGCGTTCAACCAAAATCAGAGTTGTGAAATCTTAAAATACTATTTATCAAGGAGGAAGAAACAAGCAGGGATTACACACATGAATTTAGGCCATGTTCACATGTAGCTGGGGCTTTGTAAAACCGCAGGAGTTGAGGTATGTCGGGGTCTTGTTCACAAGTGAGGGAAAGAAGGAGCAAGAGATCGGATTGGTGCAGGTGTTGTACCAGTCTGTCGCGGTGAAGAGACCTGAAGCAGAAGAAGCTCTCAATTTATCGGCTAATCCTCGTTTCTAACCCATATGCTCACGAGCTTTGGGTAGTTATCAAAAGAATGAGATGGTGGATCCAAGCAGCTGAAATGAGTTCTCTTTGCAGGGTGGCTGGGCTCTCTCTTCGAGACACATCCAACCAGGAGACCTAAAGGAGGACCCAGGACATGCTGGAGGGACTAGAGGTTTCTTGGCTGGCCAGGGAACACCTTGGGATTAGCCCAGAGGAGCTGGCCCAAGTGGCTGGGGGAAAGAAGTCTGGGCCTCTCGGCTTGGGTTGCTGCCCCCTGACCTGACCCCAGATGGACTGGACGAATATCCTCCCTCGCCCATCTAGGAAAAACAAGTTGTCCACATCACCTCGCTTTTGTGCATTGTGAAGCAGTCAGGCAAATCAATCCTGTAGGTGGCAGTAGTTCTCCAAATTGATGGCGTCTTTCTTGCCTACTCAAAGTACCAGCCACTTTTAGTTTTCTACTCCATGCTGTTAGTTTTCCAGTTCTAGTCTTCAACGTTTTACATGCAGTTCCATTGTTGATTTTTGTCTGTTCTTGCTGCTGTAAAGCATGCGGAGTTGTCTCTGTGTCTGAAATGTGATTTATAAATAAAGATGTCTTGTTTTGCCAAAATAAGTTCCTTGGACGCAGAACAGCTACAGTGGGGCAAAAAAGTATTTAGTCAGCCACCGATTGTGCAAGTTCTCCCACTTAAAATGATGACAGAGGCCAGTAATTTTCATCATAGGTACACTTCAACTGTGAGAGACAGAATGTGAAAAAAAATTCATGAATTCACATGGCAGGTTTGCACACACAGTAGCTGGTATTTTGGCCCATTACTCCATGCAGAGCTTCTTGAGAGCAGTGATGTTTTGGGGCTGTCGCCGAGCAACACAGACTTTCAACTCCCTCCACAGATTTTCTATGGGGTTGAGGTCTGGAGACTGGATAGGCCACTCCAGGACTTTCAAATGCTTCTTACGGAGCCACTCCTTTGTTGCCCGGGCGGTGTGTTTGGGGTCATTGTCGTGTTGGAAGACCCAGCCACGTTTCATCTTCAAAGCTCTCACTGATGGAAGGAGGTTTTGGCTCAGAATCTCACGATACATGGCCCCATTCATTCTATCCTTAACACGGATCAGTCGTCCTGTCCCCTTAGCAGAAAAACAGCCCCAAAGCATGATGTTCCCACCCCCATGCTTCACAGTAGGTATGGTGTTCTTGGGATGCAACTCAGTATTCTTCTTCCTCCAAACACAACGAGTTGAGTTTATACCAAAAAGTTCTACTTTGGTTTCATCTGACCACATGACATTCTCCCAATCCTCTGCTGTATCATCCATGTGCTCTCTGGCAAACTTCAGACGGGCCTGGACATGCACTGGCTTCAGCAGAAGAACACGTCTGGCACTGCAGGATTTGATTCCCTGCCGTTGTAGTGTGTTACTGATGGTGACCTTTGTTACTGTGGTCCCAGCTCTCTGCAGGTCATTCACCAGGTCCCCCCGTGTGGTTCTGGGATTCTTGCTCACCGTTCTCATGATCATTTTGACCCCACGGGATGAGATCTTGCGTGGAGCCCCAGATCGAGGGAGATTATCAGTGGTCTTGTATGTCTTCCATTTTCTGATAATTGCTCCCACAGTTGATTTTTTCACACCAAGCTGCATGCCTATTGTAGATTCACTCTTCCCAGTCTGGTGCAGGTCTACAATTCTTTTCCTGGTGTCCTTCGAAAGCTCTTCGGTCTTGGCCATAGTGGAGTTTGGAGTCTGACTGTTTGAGGCTGTGGACAGGTGTCTTTTATACAGATAATGTGTTCAAACAGGTGCCATTAATACAGGTAACGAGTGGAGGACAGAAAAGCTTCTTAAAGAAGACTTTACAGGTCTGTGAGAGCCAGAGATTTTCCTTGTTTGAAGTGACCAAATACTTATTTTCCACCCTGATTTACAAATAAATTCTTTAAAAATCCTGCCATGTGAATTCATGGATTTTTTTTTCACATTCTGTCTTTCACAGTTGAAGTGTACCTATGATGAAGATTACTGACCTCTATCATCATTTTAAGTGGGAGAACTTGCACAATCGGTGGCTGACTAAATACTTTTTTGCCCCACTGTATGTTGCTGGCAATGTTAAATGGCCTGTATTTGTGTAGTGCCTTGTAGGGTTCTACGTCATTGAAAACCTCTTTGTTTTGAGTGCTGCCCGGCTACGTGTGAACAGGGTCCTGCTCATCTCAGCGGGATTACCAGAAACAAACCAAAACATACTCATTTACTTTGAAACACTGCAGCTTTTAACAAAACAAATAAAACCAACTGAAGAAATAAAACACACAAGTTTACTGAAAGTAGCAATTTTTTAACAGTTTGAGATACAATTATTTACACGTAACCAGAGACAATGTTCTTAAAATGGGTACAAACTTTTTTTTTTCCACTTCTTGCAATTTTTTGCTTTTTCAAACATCTCTAATATTGTATAAAATAAAAATATTAGAGCTTGGGGGGGGGGGGGGGGGGGGGGAAATCTATGCAATTTAAATGTCCATTAGCCGCTATGTACACGAGTATTTACATTCTAAAATTCCATTTAGACCAAAAACTTTGCAAAGTAATCAACAGTAAACACAGTTGCAGTTCTGTTCACTGCAGCTCTACAAACCAGACTAAACTGACGTTTATACAGGTATGGCTGTAATTCGGTTTCAGTGATCGTACATGTGAGCAGTACACGACAGAGGCTTTTAGGAGGTTCAGGTGCATAATCACAAGTAAATGACAACAGCAGAATAAATAAACAGATTTTAAAAAGCAGACATTATGATGAATGGGAAGGATGAGTCACTAAGTCGATTAGCTATCATCATTAGTCATGTCTCCTGATCCACAGATTTAAACGCAGCTTAAACACTCGTGTCCAGCATGCAAGCTGATCTATTAAATTATGACTCATAGTAAAACGCAACAGCATTTAACCAGGGGAGGGCTTTGTGTTTACAGAAAGGAAAAAAATATTAAATTAAATACATCTTTAAAGAATTTTCCATTACAAATAAGAAAAAAAAACACTCTGGAAATCTGGAGCAATTCATCCCACATAGTATGAAGTTAAAAAGCATTTCATAATTATTCCATGGAATTATTTTAAATTTAAATAACCTGCAGCTACGATCAGAATATGGGTGACGAGGAAACAGAAATCATGAGAATTTTTTAAGCTGTTCATCAATCGGAAGATGGTCGAGCTGTCCCGACTCCTTTAACAGCAGTCGTTTTTAAAAGGATTTAGGGAAAAACCTAAAAACGTAATAAACTGAATCTAAAAAACACTCTTGGGCACAAAAACCAAAGCTTAAAATCTCCTTTCCCTTAAACATTCAGTCTATCTGAGAACACGAATAAATGTCTGCATTCAACATCGTCCCACGCCGACCTCCATACAGACATAAAAATGATTGATTTCCCTGCTGATCAATTATTTCACCCTTGGCTTGGACGTAGATAGGCAGAGAATAAAATGTAATGATCCATAAAATCTGATTCAAAGCCTCACACTCCAACTACACGGCCAGAAATCACCACCTGACAGGGAGCAGGAGTCTCCTCTTCTGTGGCCCTTTTCTCTCCCTCGCTGCTTTGAGGCCATTACACTCGACGTTCCTTGGATTCCCGAGAAGCTTGCGGGATTATTTAGTCTAGCTTTTGCACACAATTCCTGTCTGAGGGTGAATCTGATTCAGACTTAATGTTGGTTGAATAAAAGTAGGAAATGTACACGTCTGTCAGCTAGCAGGGCTTTGGTTCAGGCTGTGCTCCAGAAAGAGACTGAAGCGTGTGTGTGCGTGTGTGTGCGCGCGCGTGTGTGTGTGTGTGTGTGTGTGTGTGTGTGTGTGTGTGTGTGTGTGTGTGTGTGTGTGTGTGTGTGTGTGTGTGTGTATCAGTGAGTGATCACAGGTTTGTGTGATCATGCGAAGACGAGGAAGTGCAACTCCCATGGCCCCTTGTTGCTGCTGTTTGTGGGGGCGGGGGCGACCAGGGCAGGCTGGGATCCCTTTAAATGTGCAGAGTTCGCCGTGGTTCACTGTGTGTTAACAGTGCTCCAGGTATTCAATGACCCGTGAGATGGACTTCTGTCCTGTGGTGCCCATTGCACACTGCATGTGGAGGAACAAGAGGGAAACACAGGGAGGAGAGTGTGAGAGATAATATGTACATCTGTGCTGCTGGGATCTCCAGCAACAGGCCGTAAAGAATTTTAAGCTTCTGTTCAAAGATTTTTATGACGCAGAAGGGTCCAGTCATCGGACGTGACGGGGCGAATCCTATTTAAAGCTGCTGCTAAAAGCACATCTATGACTGCAAAAGTGCTCAACATTAATCCTTCCAATTAGCGATTTTTCCTGAATTACAAAGTTTGAACACACAAACTGTAACGATTGGATGACAAAGTTATTGATCACACTTCTATTAAAATCATTCAAACCTTTTCAGTGGCCTAGTGGTGAAGTGTCCGCCATGGGAATGGGAGATCGGGGTTCAAAACCCGGTGGGGTCATACCAAAGACATAAAAATGGGACAACGCCTCCCTGCATGATGCTCAGCTTTAAGGGGCTGGATTGGGGGGTAACACCACCAAATAGTTCCAGCCACATCTGCAGCGCACCGCTCCCCATGAGGACGGGTCAAATGTTGAGTGGTAATTTCATCCGTGTGACGATGACTAATGAGACTTTCACTTCAACTATAAAAGCCACAAGAAGCAGTTTGGGGAGGCTAAAGAAGCTACCGTATTTTCACGACCACAGGGCGCACCTAAAAGTCTTAAATTTTCTCCAAAATGTACGCCGCGCCCTATGGTGCGGTGTGCCTATTGTGTTGTTGTGATACGCGAACGTAGTAGAAGACAAGGGGCGTGGCGTGAACGTGCGGACGTGAGCGAAGACAGACCTGTGGATTTGCCACATCGTCATCAACATCCTCGCTGTTTGCCTCAGGGAAAAACGATCACACGGCTGTGAGTCCGTCCACTTCCTCTGCTTCCAGTTCAAAAAACAGCCGTACTATCTGAACTGCCTGGTGGACATTTATCCTTCTCATCATCCTTTATTAAAGCCTAATAAAAGCCTACTAAACTGCAGAGACAATGTATCTGTCCGGATCGCTCCAAAATATGAAGTTTACCATCAATATCTGTCTAAATGTTTGTTGTTACTCGGGTCGCCCCACTCCTTTCCCCGCCAAGCGGCTCCTTTTTGCGCACATCTCGTTACTCGTGCAGCCTTCCTCTCTCTCTCAGCTACATGATGATACTTTTTAACAACTGAATATGTGAGACTTCCACCAACAGCAAAAGGATCTCGTGTTTTTGTGGGTTTTTTATGTTCACAAGCACATTCCCTCTCACGGATGACTAAACTGCTGTTTTGACAAGTTGTCAGATTGTCTAAAAATAGGTCATTTTTTAGTTTAGTATAATGGGCTCGACACACGGGAGGCGACATCGCTTCTCCTCCATTCATTTTCAGTGAGACATGCGCGCTGCCGCGGCTCGCCTCCCGTGTGTCGAGCCCACAACTCTGCTTTTACGTTGCCTATTAACAACATTTAAAAACTGGGGTGTAGTTATTATCTCCTTTTTAAAGCTGAATTGAAACCGAAACTAAGGGGGCGGAGTCTTGCTGCTACAGCGTCCCAAATCAGACCGGTTCAAAAGACGTGGACCCCAGAGGGTTAATAAAACACAATTCAAATCACACTATTTTCTTAGGACTATTAATAACACACCTTTGATTTTGTTCATGTGGAAAGTTTATGTGGTAAATCCAACAACTACCGGTAAACACATTCTGAACTTCCAACACAGCGCATCAGCGCTTGAAGCGGCGCTGCGAGCGGCTGCGACCCAAAAGTATCAGAACCGCTCACGGCGCATGCGCAATCCTGCATCAACACCGCTCGCCCGCCATTTCCCTAATAACACACGCTGTTCGTTTTTATTTCTACACGTTTTTTTACTCACAAAGATTGTCAAGAAAGCGTGTTTGTCATGTTCATGTCAAATTAAACTGATCACAAAACACAGATTTACTTTTTTTATTTCGTTTTCCTCATCCAACCCCCATAAATCCTTGTGTGTCCTCCTGCAGCACTCCCGGTGTACGCCCGGCTTTAGTAGGAGGGAGACCCGCGATTATTGCTTTGTCGCGCATGTCTCATTGAAAATGAATGGAGGGGAGGCGAAGTTGCCTCCCGTGTGTCGAGCCCATTAGAAGAGCACGAGCCGTCAGCGCACGCAATGAGGAAGTGCACGTGCGATCTAAACCAGGTCTGAACCAGGACTAGACCAGTAAAGTGAAGCATGCTTTTGGCTGTTTATAATTTTCGCAATGTCTGGTTTGCACTGATATGTTCCGAGTCCCGAGCCCGCACAGATGTTTTACCGGTACGTTTTACCGTGCCCATGCCCGCGCCCTGTAACCCGGTGCGCCTTATGTATGTGTTAAATACCAAAAAGACACCAGTAACTGAAGTTGCGCCCTATAACCCGGTGCGCCCTATGGTCGTGAAAATAAGGTAATAAGATATTAAAGTTACAATGTGTAGTTTTTACCATTCCTCTGTGGAAATTTCCATCGAAATGTTGTTGAAAATTTAATGATGCCCAGTTGATAAATATTGGCGGCTTCATAACATGTAACCATAAAAGTCGGGTCTAAAATACATGTGAGCGGGTCTAAACCCTAGTTTATGCTTCTGCGTCAGCTCCACGCGGAGAGATGCACAGAGACTTCTCCATCTCCTGGGGAGTGTTGCAAAGCAATTCCCCGACAGGACAACAGTGGGCTTAGCGCTGATCTGTGGTATCCTGATATGTATCCGAGATATCCACAATAGTGCATTTACTATTGTGTTTGTATTGTGTTGTGCTGACAGTTTCGGCATCACTCAGTCGCCACCATCAGAGCTTTGCAGGGGTTGGTGGCATTAACTCGGCTGTTTATCTGCGGGCAGTGGGGCACAATGTCACTAAACTCTGATGATGGCGACTGTGTGGCGCTGAAACTGTCAACAAAGTAAAAACCAGTAATCTTTGCTACTCTGCGTAAATAAGAACAAAAACAAACTATGGAACTAGAGGAGCATGGCTTCAAAAATATTTTTGTTTTCAGAAGCAGACATAATTCAAACACTGGACAACTTTATTGTACAACCTTGCTGATCATACTCACAGTGAGGTTCATGAAACTCAAAAACTTCTTCAGCATTTCTGTCATGATGGAGAAATCCCCTTTAGGTAGGTGCTCTCTCACAGTAGTCACGTTGTCCTGAGAAGGAAAAAGGCAAAAACAAATATTGTTAAAGAGAAGATAATATCTTTTTGTAGTGCGTGTGTGTGTGTGTGTGTGTGTGTGTGTGTGTGTGTGTGTAACTCACCTGGCTGCCCTGACAAATGCAGCCTAGTAACAGAGCGGTGTAGGAGGCCACGATGCTGTCCTCCATATGCTTGCCTGCGTGCTGCAGAGCTACAGACAACACAAGGGGAAAATAATTCATTCTCTATTACAATTATCTAAAAATCTAATAAAATCTGATGCCAAATGTCAACGTCCTAATAACGGTTTTTAACAACTCGATAATATCCTGTAGTTTAGTCGACGTCAATTCGAATTACTGTGATTTACTCTTCATCTCTAAATAGAGAGAAAATGTAGCAGAGACAATAATCCATGTTTAAGTGCATTGGTGACAAACTAACAAAAAACAGACACACACACACACACACACACACACACACACACACACACACACACACACACACACACCTTTATTTAGGTCCAACTCTTCATCCTCCTCTTCTTTATTTTCAGGTTGGCTGTCGTTGGTCTCAGACACCACCCACTGGATCTCTCCGGACGTCTCCTGCCACTCTCCACTTTGGTCCAGGGCCGGCTTGGGAGCCTCACTGATGAGGTCGTCCGTCTTCGCCTCGGCCAGGATGGCAGCACGTTCCCTCTCAAGGAAGAGCTACGATTTAGGGAAAAGGCAACAACAGCTGTGATCTCTGGAAAGGAACCACAGCTGGAGCTTCATATTTCAACACAAGTGATTTTCATAATTTAATCTTTAAATTATTCATTTAAAAATCAATTCAACAAAAACAAGCAGACCTTCCTGCTCAGTATTCAGGCAGCTAGAAGAACATGACTACATCCTTGTGAATTTACTGAATCTTGTTTTGTTTTTTAATAGTATGAAGGAGTTTAAAACGGAGAGCCTCCCTGACAAAAAACAGCTTATTTAACCCGTGCAGGCACTGATCACAACCGGCCACTTTAGTCCTGACAGCATGAAATCTCCCCTCCTTCAGGGACAACTAGAAGGAATATGTTGTACCTTCACCAGGGCAGCCAAAACTCCAGAAGACTTGGGCGTGTCAGCACCATCTCCCTGGGCCTCGGCTGGCTGTGTCGCTTCCTCAGATTGTGTTAGCTCAGCAGATTGCATCAGGCTGTCTTCCAAACAAGCGTCATCCACGATGTACTCCATCTCCACCAGACAGTGGCGGTTTCTGGAGCTGTACTCCACGAGGTTAATCAGAAGCCCCAAACCCTGATGTAAACAACAGTAAAGTAGTGGATTAGTAGAAGATTGTGTTCATGCTGGATTGTTTTTCTAAAGTGAACCTCACCAATACTCGCACGTCAAAGCGCTGCTCCTGGGGGATGTAGCGTGGGACTCGAAGGACGCAGTTGAGAGCGGTGGCTGTTAGCTGCTCCTGCTCACCTGTTTTGGTGCTTCCCCACTCTGTGGGCAACAAATATGATCACAACGGTTCACCCTGAATCTCGACAATGCAAAGAAATTCCGACAACAACCAGAAGCAGAAAATAAAAATGGAATAAATGTTTGTGATTTTAAATTTTAAAAAGACACCGTTGTCGTGGGTGAGGTTGAGCAGCACCCCGATGACAGCCCTCATACAGTCTTCCACAGCCTTTCCCACGTTGCTGAAGCTACAGTGTGGCAGCGTTGCAGCCGCCGATGACACGGAGCTGTTGTTTAACGCCCTGCTGTACCGCTGGATCATATCCTCACAGTACCGCAAAGCTCTGGTGACAGGAAACCAAAGGTTTTTATGAGATCGTAAAAAAGCAAAATAAAACATAAAAGATAACGGTGTGAGAGAGAGAGAGAAAAAAAAAAGAGAAGTCAAGGAGACCCAAAAAGACTACATGGATTATTTTCTCCAACTGCTACTGTGTGTAGATAAAAAGTTAACTTTTAAGTCAGTTTAGCTGCAATGAAACTTCCGGTAACATCACCAGAACGCAGAAATCAAATGATGTATGACCTTTAAAAAAAAATAAAACTGTTTTATTGCATTTAGAATCCATAATTTTCCACTAAACTTGCAACAAAATCCAAAAAATGCCTCAAATTAAACCAGGTTTGAGTCTAAAGGTTACAACAACATCCAAACACAGCGTTGTAATTGGGGTTTACCTGGCAGAGGAGATGATAAGTTGAGAGTCTTTGTATGCAATCAAGTAGCTCTGGTTCTCTGGGTTCTGCACGGTCACCTGTTGGCAGAAAGATAAAAAATAATCCACATCAGTAAAGGGCTGCGCTCAGAGAACTGCTCAGGAAAATAAATCAAGATACAGAAAATCAGTGGAAGCATTTCAAAAGGCCGTTCAGTCTTCAGGTGGCAAATCTGCCATCTTAAAGGGCAGAATCTTGTCCTTGAAGCTCGACAAACCTCAACTTTAAAGGACTCTACTTACGCTCTCGAGCACCCTCAGGCACCTCTCAGCTCCCCAGAGAGCTGCTACCAGACTCTCCTTGTCGTCTTCTTGACTCAGGTTCAGCACACACTCTTTCACTGTGGCACCAAAACAAACACGAAGCATTTTTAACGACATCCAACGAGGCAGACATCACACAAAAATAAATTCTCGTTTACACACACCTTTGTCTACAATGTGATCCAGGCCTCCCAGCAGCCGCAGTTCTTCTTTGAACCAATCGCCAGCCCTCTTGGAGGTCAGAGATAACAAGGTCTCCATGGCGAGGTGGCCCGTCTACAAAACAGACGTGGAGCACAATCATATGTCAGGATTAGGATTTTCTATACTTCTGCTGCACATATGGGCAACTTTTTAGACTATTTTTTAACCGTTTGGAAGATGAAGTTTTACGTTGTTATTCCTAAGTTTTGATCAAAAATAAGAATAAAGAGCTCCCTGAAATGGGTCGATATTACAAAGTTATATCATCTAAGATTCCTTTCTTTTACAATTTTTGGGTTTTTTAATTGTAAAAGAACACAAGCATGGTAAAAAACTACATAGCATCAGACAAGTAAGCATTTCCAATTAAATCTGAATACATAACAGATTAAAAACGTCAGACATCAACATCATACGGGGAACCGATTGGTTTTGTATGAACACACAACCTACCGTGATGTTTTCTAAATCCAGATGCTTGTTGTGCACCGTCTCGCACAGCTTCCTGATCTTTTCTTTGACCTTCGCCACTTCCTTTTCGGTGAGCTGATCCTCGTTGCCCGAGTATTCGTGGTCCTGCTCCAGCAGCTTGATCATTAGCTCCAAACAAGCTCTATCGAGGTCCATGTTGAGACGATCTCGACTCAGAATATACATCAAGGCAGCTGTGCACAGAGCGAGGTTCTGCAAGAGTCATTAGAGATCTACTTTAAACAGACGGTATGATGAGTCACGTCCACCATCGCAGTATCTCCGAGCGCCTAAGGGCAGCTCCTTAAAAAAATAACAATCAAAGGCATCCTGATGCGTTATGTGGTTGTAGATTAGAAAAGAAAGAAAACAATCTTTGATATAGCGCCCCTCGAGATGAAAATCACGAGACGCTGCTCTTATGGCAGAAACGACAATCACGATTTTTTTTTTTACTGAAACGGAGATCTTGATTATTTAACAAGATCTTTAATATTGATCATGTTGATGACAAAAGAGAGGTGTACAGGGCAAACATTTGTAATATAAAAGAGTGAGTGACACACACTGTACCAGCAGGCTCCTGAGCCGCTAAAAGACGTCAAAATGTGTGCACATGGCACACACTCGCAGTGCGCCCGATTACTACCGACTGGGAGAGGGTGTGTGTGTGTGTGTGTGTGTGTGTGTGTTGCAGTGCACCTTAGATTGCTGTGAAAGCAGGGACAGTGATAGCACAAAATGCCTGGGACAATTATTACATTAAGCGATGGGACCTGTAAATAAATAGGTTAGAAATAAGTTCCTCATGCTGACAACCTCTGAGTGACACGTTGCTACTGTACGCTCCCCTACACCATCGCTGGAGAGGACTAAATAATCATTATGCAACATTTTGTGGAAGTTTACTACAACATAGATGTTTATATGTTTCTATTTATTTTATATTATAAATGCACTGTATTACTTTTGCCATCAGTATTTGCTAGATATTTTTATCAAACCGGGTCTGTATTGGGTACGCTTTAATAAGATAAACCTCAGCCTAAACCCTTTGGGTCATAAACTCTGAGCAAGTGTGTTGGCTCTTTCATAATAGCAATCAGAAATTGTTTGTGTGATTATCTTGTTCTGCACAATGTATCGCAAATACATCGTTATTGCGATATCAGCATGCTCAATATACATGTTGCAAAAAACAGATAAATATTGCAAGGAATGCTCAGCTCAAATGTTTGCTACATATAATGCCTTCTGTCAAACGGAAGCGTGATGCTTTAACAAATCAAATGGAGCGCTTCACCCATTTGGCCAATTGGGTGGGTTCTCATAGGTTAAATGCCCACCCCCAAGGCGGACGGCACTTAATGTTGATGGTTAGCAAACATTTGTTAGCTTTGTTCTGCTCTTTCTGTAGATTCTGCTTTTCCCGGGATCCACCGATTACCTTTTCTTGTTTATTTTTTTCCCCTTTACTCACATCTTTTGCTTTTTCTCATTTTTATGATTTTTTTTTTTTGGGGGGGGGGTCATTTTTTTATTTCTTTGTTTTTGAATATTTTTGTTGCCGAGTTAAGTTTTTATTTATTGCAAGTAATATCATCATCACAATATTAATCACTGTTATCGACGTGCAGCCCTACTTGTTCCGTGTTTTTTCTTATGTATTGTCTTTCTTTGATTGTGACCTGTGCAATTTTATGACAGAATAAATAAATAAAATCAATATTAATTTAAAAAAAAATCTTAAATAATCGCAATCTCAATCTCATTCAAAATAATCGTGATCATCATTTTTGCCATAAATTGAGCATCCCTAGCTGAAACTACCCAAGAATACGTCTCCTCCCTATCCCAGGGGGTTATTGATGCCATTATGTCCTATAACGTTATAGAATGGTAGCTTTGATTACATGCAGAAGAGCATTACTTCTCGGGGGTAGGGGTATTCATGGGTAGTTTCGGCTCATTAAGCAACAATAGACAGCTACAGCTTATAAGTGTGACTTTCTCATATTCCAGTCAGAACAGACGAAGTTCCTCTGACGAGAAGCAAAAGGTCTTTAAGAAACCAAAGAAGTCCAGTTGCCTTCATTTGAACCCCCTTTGGATTACCATGATTCGGATGACTGAGAACCTTCACCAATATGTTTAGCTCGCACAACAACTGGTTTTATGAGTGAGTGAGATCCAGATAAGGGTCCTCAAAAATGTTGCTAGGTTGTTCGCCAGGCACTTTGGTAAAAACAAAACAAAACAAAAAAAACTAAAAAGTCACAAAGGGGGTCTGAAATGTTGGAAATAGCCACGAAGCTGCCAAGTTGGCATCTCTGTGGGTGGTGTGCTCGATTTGCAACTGGTAGCAGCGCAAGAGTAAACTTCTTCCCAGATCGTAATGGAGATTAAATTACATTTTTGACGTAGTAGATAATACAGTATCAGAAAGGACTTCGAAATGCAGTATCATGGCTGTTAATAACCCTGTGCTGCCCTCTGAAGTGTTAACAAATAATAAAACTCCTTGGAAATGGATGTCTATATCTACCTGCTGTTAGCCATGAGTGTTCAAAACAGAAATATTCTCACTAAAATTTTGATAAAAAGGCTAAATAAAAAAATTAATTTAAAGCAGCTGCTTGACTGACCGGGTGTTGTGGAGCATCACTGAGAATTTTGAAGACCTGAGCCACTTTCCCTCTAGCGCGCAGGTGCATCCTGAAGCCGGGCATGGCGCACCTCGTGGCCAAGCTGATTATACTGAAGAAAAAGTCAGAAAAATCACAAACCAACGAATATGAGACAAGCTAAAACAAACCAATATAAAAGGTTTTAATGTCCATCTGCAGCAGGTTATTTGTGTTTTTAATCAACTTTTTATGTTTTTTTCTTCCAGTTTTAGAACAGAACACTTAAATAATCAGCAAAGCCAACAGATGGTGAAAAATGACTATTTCACAAAAAAGCCACAAAATACAAATAAATTAATATGCCTAGTCGTCTTTAATAATGAAACATCCTTTTTAACCGGTAACTATGAGACATTAATGTTTTTCAATAAAACCTTAGAGAACAGGTGTTTACGCTTTAATCAATTCTAACAGGTAATTGGAATTGAGCACCTTTAAGGTGGCACTAGACAAACATCTGTCAGACCAGAGACACTCTGCACAAGGCAACAGCGAGTCGGAGCCAAGTGTTTAATCATACTCACCTAAGGCATCTTGTGTTGAGCGGCTGACTGCTCTTTAGTCCCGTTTCCAGATACTCAAAGTCATCCGTGAACTCTTGATTCTCTCCGAACTCCACCACATCATTGAAGTGCTTCACGTGCTGCACCACCGTGTAAAGCTGTGGAATGAGGAATGGGGTTAATTACAGTTAAGTGGGAAGGTGCACCGCTCCCGAGATACAACCCGCTCAGGCAAAAGCTTTTGCACAAACATCAATACGACGGCGCTCATTGTTAAAATTCCTCTGCAGGTTGCATTACCGGCAGTAGCTGACTGCGCTAATACGCCTCATCAATAACAGCTCAGCATGTGGAGTTCGAGCTAGATCAGCAGTTCATTGTGTATGTTTAAAAGTATCAGCCATTACAGCATCAATGTCTGGTGACGGCTCACTGTGGCCGACGCTACTGCATCTCAGGGGATGCGTGGCTAACAGCGTGATGTGGAGCCAAAAGGCCCATCTGTAAATTACACAAGCTGTAGGGGTGTTTTAAATTATAGGCAGTGTGCTCACTGCTACTTTGAACTCTCAGCGGGATTCAAATAAACAACAACAAGCTCGGTATCCAAGAAATTAGTCCACTCCTTTACAGAGCATAAACAGCATGCAAACAGTTTCTCCTCACCTGCTGTAACTAAGTAAAAACTCTCACTGTGCCTTGAACTGACCTCTTTGTCTTCCTTCCTGCATTTTAGTGCAGTGACAATATCCTGGTTGAGTCGTGTGGGCATGGTCTCTGACTTAATGACTTTTGGTGGTGGTGGAGGAGCTTTGAACAAGCCGTCGTCTTTATGGGAGTTGCTGTCCTTGCTGCTGCTTGATAACACGGCCTGAGGAGGAAAATGGGCAAAGAAGTGAGGCTCATGCTAAAATAACATCTGTGTAGTGGTGCATCTACCAGATTTAACAGGTGTGTTAAATGCGCACGCACACACACACACGTGTAGTACATGTGTGTAATGGTGTGAAAATTAATCTTAGATACTTAAATTAATAACCAAAGTTTATTTATTAAACAGAAGATTCAGTAAGATTCCTTTCATTCGATAAACTGGAAATGCAACCCTTTTCTGTGTTTCGTTTCAATAATGAGGCAAGTTTAAAAATGAAGAGATTTATTTACTAACAATTTTAAACTGAAAGATTTGAAGTGACAATTATAAAAATGACAATTTTAATAACAATCCTTAACAGCTTTGATATTAAACTTGTTTTAAAAGCAAACCTGTGTTGGATGGAACTAAAATTGAGAATGGTGAGTTTGGAATGCGTGAATGAAGTTCTCAGAAGGTTTCTTTCAGAGGGAACGGAAGCGTTCTGGTGAAAATGATGTTTTGCGGATAACTGAGTTATTTTGAGAGAAAGCCGCATCAAATGTCATCTGTCGTGTTCTACCTCACCCAAACAGGCTGACCCTCTTGTGGATCCGGAGATCGGAGGATGGGTTCATCCAAGATGACACTCGGGGCTGGCAGAGAAGACGCGAGTGTCCGATGCTCTGGTCCAGAGTGGTAGTCGGGTACACGGCTGTACGAAGCGTTTGGCAAATGCACGTTATCGTCTTAACTTCAGAAATCAATGACTCTGGGAGAGTCTTCGTTAGCTCGTTAGTTTTTTAGCCATTCTTGTCGGCGTGACAGAACAGCTTGGCGGAGATCAGGAGACGGCCGTACTCCTTTCCTCGTGGTGTTGGTTGAAGAACTGGACGTGAAATCTGTGATGGTTAGTTTTTACCAAACTCTCTCAGAACACTCCCCCTCTCTCTCCGGAAGAAAGCTTGCTCATGCGTCAAAAAACATGTGATGCAGTTATTGTTTATCTGAGCTTTGTGTTGGCTGAACAGGGTGAAGGTCTTCTTTGCTGAACACATCTTTAATCATTATAATAATTATCATTATGATACCCAAAGCATAATAATAATTTATTTCATGTAATTAAAATACCTTTATATCTGAACCAAGTGATTATGTTGTAATGATTACTTAAACAGTAATAAAATCATTAGTTTATTAATTATTATTTAATTATTATCATCGTGGCTTGAAGTGTCATTCTTCTGGGACGGAACAGCAGATGGTGTTATGATCTTGAGCAGACATCGTGGCTCCTTGGGTTTAATCTGTGGATTCAGTACTGTTTGACCCAGCTTGACCCAGCTGGGCAAATGTGACCTTTGGCACAAATCAGAGAACCTTCATGCCGTTACAGTGGGTAAATATGTGCTGCTTGAATCCATTGTTCGTGTACAAATGTTTAATCCTGTGAGGTAAAGTCAGCTCAAAATAAACAAGCAGAACCAGGTTTGCTTGTCAGGGGAAATAATTCAAGAAACAAATTGGAGCGATTAATTAAGAAATGTTTACCAGTAAAAGACCAACGATGGCAACAAAATGAAACAAGAGTAACAAACGGTTCGATTCATTAGCATCTGAGCTACAATAGCCTTTAATAGCATTTGCCTTAATGCTGCACAAACAGCCACACGAATGTTCAAAATAAAGTCATAAATATGCTTCACACAGACAGCCTTTCACCCAGTGGCCACTGATTAGTGTTCAGAAGGGTGCAATAAAGTCGAGCACAATATCTCACCGGAGCAGTGTGTGATCGGGAAAGGGGAGGAGCAGGTACCTCCTCGGGCTCTGGCTGGTTCCAGTGGCGAGCGTTGTACACCGCTTTAGAGGGGGACTGGAACACAGGAAGAATTAAACTGTTAGTTTGACAGAAATGCAGCCTCAAAACGAACACCATGGTCCTATTTACACAACCAATAACAACTTTCATCACTGAAATTTAAACAACCAGCTGCATAACGAACATAAATAAAACCCCTCATTGTTCATTTGTACTTGTAAAAACAGAATGGAGGTGGTTAGGTTACAGTTCATGCAGATGATCCTATGCTGTTGATAAACTGGGACAAGTAGCACCAACATTTCCTGTAGCAGACACAATGTGTGACTAAAGCACATATTACAGACAATGGAGAAAGTTCAGTTGTAGGAAAGTGTAACCACACAGAAATAAGCGAAAAAAATAAATACACCCAATGCTGCAGCAAAGCACTGTTCATAAGGAAAAAAGAAATGTGGGATGAAAACATCACAAACATCAGAGGAATTGGATTAAAGCAGGCCTGAGAACAGCCACATGTGTGTGTGTGTGTGTGTGTGTGTGTGTGTGTGTGTGTGTGTGTGTGTGTGTGTGTGTGTGTGTGTGTGTGTGTGTGTGTGTGTGTGTGTGTGTGTGTGTGTGTGTGTGTGTGTGTGTGTGTGTTGTAGTGTAGTTACAACTTCCAAAACTGCAACAATAACCGATTTTTAAAAATCATGGACTTTGGACTTTGTCAGATTAAAGTTAGCCTATACAACTCGATTTTTTTCTGTAATTTTCTTGAGCCAATATGTGCCAAAATGAACCTTTACATGGTTAATGAAAAGACCCCCACTGCCCTCTGTGGCCAGAATATCGCACTTGCAACTTCAGAGAGGCAGGCTGTTCCCTGTTGGACTTAGTAAAGTGAAGCTGACATGCCAACGCTGCAGTCTGCTTCCAGCACGTTTCCTGCATGTTTTAGATCATGAACACGGCTGATTTTTTTCATTTAGTGATAAATCACTCCTGTAGAAACTAATGAAGTCTGAGGAGACATTTCAGCGGTTAGATTAGGTTGTTAAAAAGACAAACACACAACAAGGAGATCAGTTTGCCTTTTGATTTCCTTAACAAACACTAGGTGGTGCTAAAGCAACCCAAAACTGCACAGTATCCCTTTCATTCAACACGTAAATATGAGATTGATTAGATGAAATGAAGTCCAAATGGACTATGGCTGCTCAGTATTGTAATCTGGTACCTTAATCTGATTACAAACAATTCAAAGAAATTTGGAACAAAAAAAAAAGAAAAAAAAATACCTTTTTGGGTCCACTAAATATCTTTTTTAACCCACAGATGGAATCCTTGGATTTGTCACCCGCCTTCGTCGGTCGTCCTTTCGGTCCATCGATGCCAGCGGGGCTGGAGTCGTCAGAGAACTCAAAAGCATCTGCTTGACACATCCCAGGGAGTTATTTATAAAACTCAGTGATCTCAAAAGTAGATAACTTTTCATCTGCTCACCTGTGTTGCTGCTGGCTTGACTGTCCTGAGAATCACTCGTGTGAGGACTGTCCACCCCGGAGCTCAGGGAAGCTAAAGCTGCCTTCTTGGCCCTTTTCTCTTTGACCTGAGAGCTCTCGTCATCGCTGTCGCTCTCGCTCAGGTCATCAAAGCCAAAATACTTGATCTTGTAGCTGCTCTTTCCTGGCATTCCACTCTCCGAGCTCTCCTCTTCCTGCTCACCATCTTCCGCCTCAAAGCCAAAGAACTCCAGTTTTGTCTCCGTTTTAGTCTTTTTTACCTTTGCTTGGGTGGGTCTAAACCTAAAAGGATTAATTTTTTAACAACAGTAAATTTAGAAATAAAGTATTTGTCCAATCTCTTTGAAACAGACTGAATACTAACATCACAACTTTATGAATCATTTTAAAATGCTGACAGATAAAAACACATCTTACCGAGTAGATTTAGGTGGCTGTGCATCAGACTTCTTCTTCATAAGCCCTGCTTCTCCAAGGTCAGCGGGGGTAGCCGGGGGGACTAACTCATCAACGCTCCGCTCAATTGAGTCCTGGATAGTAACGTTGCACACTGACACGCAGGAGGGATGCAGAACTGTGTAGTCTCGCACCCTCCCACCACCTCTGCCTGCAGGCTTAGCTGCTGTTTTAACACTGGCAGCAGTATTAGTTGCACTAGCAGAAAGGACACTGTTGGTTTTATCTTGAACACTCGCTATGTCGGTCAGCTTCTCGTTGTCGTTTTCAGCAGCTTCAGATAGAATTTTATCAGGCCGACTGGGCCGCTGGTATTTCTTGCAGTTTGAGGCTCTTAGAGTGAATGGCGATGGGGGAATGTTGTCTACTGGCTCTGGTGGAGGCTCCATGGGCACCACCATCTTTAGTTCCTCTGATAAAGATCCATCACAGGAGGAAGGAGTTTGAAAGTGTTTGCTACCTCCTGGCGCATCAGCTGACAGTTTGAGGGAGGAGTCTAAACCAGAAGTAGAGGAAGCAGCTGTCTGCGACACGGAGATGTTCTGGTTTTGAGAAAGAACCGTGTCTGAAAACGAGGTTGGGCATGCTGGTTTCTGATTGCTTTCTAATGCACTTTTGTACCAGGGCTGGTTGTTTTTAACATTCTTCTCTGATGGTTGGTTACCTAAAAGTGTAAAGAAATTTATGAGTGATCATAGTAAAAGACCAGGACTAGAGGCAGACTGATGTGTTTATATTTATCTAAAGCTGATTATTAAGGCTGATATATGTATGTGTGTATATATATATATATATGTATATATATATATATATATATATATATATATATATATATATATACACGTTTTAGCAGCACAATGATTGTGAAAGACACCTGAACATTCACTGTGTGCAATATATAATACTCTCAATATTTATTGAACTTCAAATACAAAACAAACTCAAAATATAAAAAAAAAATTAATAAATAAGTGTGTTGAGGTCCTTTCTTCAGCCTAGTAGTGGCAGTAGTTGGCCACACAGGTGCCTGATTGTTTTTTTGTTGGCTTTTAAAAATAGTTTCGGCTAATGGCCGATACAGTACAGAAAAAATTTAATATATTGGCCCGATATATAGTTTGGTCTCGAACCAGAACTGATAATATAGAAGTCACAACTGAGTGTAAGAATTGGAATAAAAAACAGAGACAAAGATAGTGAAAAGAAAATGATGCAACATAAAACATTTTTTGTCACTCACTTGTGAATGTAGCAGGTATACTTGCAGAGCCTTGTGTGGCAGTCACAACAGCAGCAGTTACTCTACTTTGCACTTGAGCAGTTTCTGTCACCCCCTCCTCTATGAGTTTCGCACCAGACTCACTGTGAGAGGCTACAGTTTTAGACTCTTCATCGCTGTCAAACCCAAATGGGTCTTCTTCATTGTCACTGTCCTCAAGCCTGGGTCTCTTTGAGACCTCAGGGACACCGGGTTTTAAGAGAGGCCTTTTGGTTCCCAGCTGAGCCTTGTATGTAGTTTCTCCCCATTTGGTGGACAGAGAGGGCTTTTTATTGGAAAAGACTTCTTCAAACTTTGAATTTGCCTCCCCTCCCTTGCGGTTGTATGTTTTACCAAATCTTGATGTCATGCTGGTTGTTGTTTGTTACATATTCTCTGTAAATAAAGGTAAAGACCATTCAATATTTAACACATGCATTAAGTTAACAACATGATCATTTGAACCTTCACATACAAGCACATCTAAAAGAACAAAAATGATCTTAGATGTTTTTAAATTAAGTTTATGAAAAAAGCTGCATGTGTCACAAGATGCTTACTAGTTTCTTTTTCCAAATAATGTTCAGACTTCAGCTGTTATCTCAAACTTTTTCTTACTCTGGTTAAAACTGGGGTCATTTATGCGTTGAGGGTAAATTAAAACACATTTTACAAACTATAAACAACTAGACTTTTATTTATAGAGAGAATTACCTAAATGTCAACAATCGATCCATTCGTTCTTTGACTTTCTCACAAAAAACTACCCGGTCTTGTTCGTTATCTTATTCTGAAGGTCCTAATGGGATTTCAATGTATATGTCCTAGATAAGTTTTATAACAAGACACTTCAGAAATCGATATATTTACTAATGTTATTGATTTTACTTGCTAACCGACAGGTAAAAAAATATATACACTTAAAATGCTTTCAAAATATTGCCTGCAAGTTTTAGTTGAGTCAACTGATAGTTGCTAGCATACAAAGTTAGCATTGCTAGCTCTAGCTTCGAATGTCGTTTGTCTAGGTTACACGAGAGAAAAAGGATTTTGATAAACTTTCATTACACTTGGGAGTTAAATACACGGCCTTTTGTCACACATTAGCCGTGTAGGTAACTTGTCTCTGCCTGATAACTAGTTAGGCATGCATGTAAAGTTAACTACTGTGAAGTTAGCTATTAGCTTCCGCACAGCTAACTACGCTAACCTGACTCTTGTTTACATTTCTAACATGGCTCCATTTTAAGCATGAAACTCCGTATTTCAAACACGACCAAGCACCCATAAGGTAGCTTTTAGTATTGGCATCTAATATGATATTCAGTATAAAGCAAAAGCAAAGAAGACTTTCTACCTTTCAACTCCAGCTAATCGTCTCGTCTCCAGACAGCCGGCGAGGCCTAACCAGCTACTCACGCACAAATCAAGCGGGTAAAGTCCGTTCAGAGCAACGGAAAAGGCACTACAAACACATTTCTAATTTAATTATGTTTTAGATGTTGCGTTTATTGCGAAAGAAAGGCGTTCTAAAATGTATAGGAAGCTGTACTTGTCTAAATATAGCTGATAATCCGGAGTTTTTGTATTTTTTAAGTGCAAGTGACGGCCATTAAAATATCCCCTCCCTCCTCGATGGTTGGAAAGACATCCTAATCACGTACTACATTGTTGAAAAAAAACTGTCCAATCAGCAGCAGGAACACTCCCCTGTGCCTCGAGACTGTGTCAACATACGCGTCTCTGATTGGTTTAAATTTTAAAGTAAAACCAGGCTGACAGGGGGCGCTGCAGGATCACGTTCAGTTTTAAAGTTGGACACCGTGCCGAGTAATGCAGGTAACGATGCTACATGCAGAAAATTGCTAAATTGGGTTTTAAAGCTTGCAAATGGTTTTAAACCATGGTGATTTTACTCTATGGTAGATGTTTTTTTCAAATATTATTAATGATGAACTATTGCCCACCTAGGGTTGTAAACCAGCAGTCAAAAGAGTAAGTGTTGGTTACCTAAAGTTCTTTGATTGTTTTGTTTACCAAAATGCAAGTCATTCACCAGAACCACTCTGTAGGGGGCACAACTGGAATATAAATACAACTTAAGCCCTGGGTCAGCAAGACAAAGTGGTCACAACTACATCAACACTAAAATGACCATCACTCAGCCTAGACATACATGATAACTCCTTCAGGTCACAGGTCCTCTGTGGAAACGACTCAGAAAGAAGGTGATTCTAATTTCACATGAGCGCCGTTCAAAAAGTTATTTAGGACTTAAAGTTGTATTATTCCTCACATGAAGAAAAATAAATAATGCATTTTCTGTATATGAAAGATAAATATGTTGTGGGATCTCTGTTGTCCCCCAGAAGCGAATGTGCACATTAAAGTGGCAACACCTTTTTAAGGTGTCTGGTTTCCAGAAGAGTCATAAATCACAGTTTGACCAAAGATTTTCTCAGTCACAGAATTGTTTTTGTAACTGTCCAACATTTACTAAAAACATTGCTGTATCCAAACGGTGTTAGATTCACATATTTCTGGCATTTGTCTACAGCTAGACCCAGAGAGGAGCTGTCAGTTCACATCAGGGTCCCAGAGATGGTGATGCAATACAGACATGGCATGTATAATGAACTCGTGGTTTGGCAGTCTGGCAGTTATGACTTTATTTGGAGGAAAGCTTGAGTCCAGTTTTTAAAATGTGTGTGATAATCTGAATATTTTGTAGGCTTTGATCAAATAAGTCAGGGATCTGTGCCACGGTAAAGCCAAATAACAGAGTTTAGTGTCTGCTCCAACCTTTTGAGACTGAATCAAGATCCGTAAAATCGACAATTGCAACTCTGAGACAGAACCAGCAGATGGCAGCAATACTAACGGTTTCTCATGTATAAGCTGAGCATTTTTCCCTATTTAGTGTCTACTTAGGCTGCATTTCATGTTCTGCTTCTTTTTCCAAATACCTAAACTCATCTAGTGCATATTGCATTGTAAAAAAAAAAGAATGTCCAGTGAATTCCAAAAATAATATCTGGTCATTAATCATGGAAGCTAACCATCAACGGAAAGCCCCTCTCTGTAGTAAAGCTTCCAAATGGAAACAAAAAGATGGATGACCGTCCAATGGTTGTTTAGAGACTTGGTCTGCAGCTCAAATGTGAAAACTGGGAAGCAAACTGCTGAATCCTACCAAATTTCCTCCATTTGCTTTTAACCAAGACGTTTAAATGCACTCAGTTTTGGCTTGCTTTTAGCACCCCCTAGTGTCCATTTGTAGAACCAAAAACAAAACATACCTCCTTGCTATGCATTCGCCTTTTTAACACCTTAATCTAACAGCTGACATGTCTCCCCAGCTTTTATTAGTGTATATAGAAGTGATTCATCAATAAATTAAATCAGCTGTGTTCATGATCTAAATCATGCAGGAAACATTCTGGAACCAGACTGCAGCGCCAGGTATGTCAGTTCCTTTTTCTTAGGCCCTGTCTACACGTAGCCGGGGATCTGCCAAAACGTAGATATTTTTCTACGTTTTGGCTTGTCATCCACACGAAAACGGATCTTTTTAAAAACTCCGGCCAAAGTGAAGATATGCGTTTTCTCCGTTTTGGGTGTCTGCGTGTGGACAGACAAAACCGGAGTTTTAAGCTCCGCAACGTCACTTTCCGGGACAAAAAAATGCTGACATCACGTGTGCAACCTGTGCTTACACTAGCCGACAGCATGGATGCCCTCAGAGCTGCGCTCGCTTTATCAATTGTCCAAGCGCTTTTTGCTTGTTTGTTTTTGCAAGCGAAATTTCTGCTCCTTGCGGAAGACCACAGACGAAGGACGAGGTTAAGAACGGGGGAAGTACTGCCGCCTACAGGTCTGGCATGTCCTTAACAACGTATTTATCCGGGTACGTGTGGTCAGTTTTTTTTTTTAAACGAGGTGGTGTGGATGCAAGTTTTTGGAGGGGCGGATATTCGTTTAAAAAAATGGCTACGTGTGGACTAGGCCCAAGTCCCAACAGACCTGACCGGCACTCTGGAGTTGCAAGTGTGATATTCTGGCCACAGGGGGCGATGGGGGCTGTGTGGTCTTTCATGAAAAAAGATCATAGAGTATAAAAAGGGTCATTTTAGCACATACTCTCTCAAGAAAATGATTTAAATATATAAAAACGTTGTAAAGTATATCTTTAAAGAGTGGAAGTTTCAAACCAGACACAATACATCTGATTAGTTAAAAATAAATGAAAAGAAAAGCTCCTGAAGGATTTTACTCAAAGGAGTCTATGAAGCTGTTTGTGCAGTCTGTGCTGGTCTCCATAGTTCTCCACAAGGATTGCTTTATCATCTTTTTCCAACATTTATGTGGTGAAGAAATCTCTTTTACAAAGAATCGAGCGTGTTTATCCAAACCCCACATCTGCATCGAGGGTCAGATCTCCGTTTGGCTCACGCTTCTGTCTCTGAGGTCAGCCTGCACAGCCCCTGGCTCAACAACACCAGACTGCTATCAAGCCCATATGAAGGCAATAAAAACAAATTCAAAACAGATTCCAATTGGCCTCCAGCCCCCTTCCTCTGTGTGTATTACACATGAACGCTGCACGTGCAAAGATAATATTGATACGATCAGCTTGGGTGCCGTTTCTCTAACACTCAACGGAGAGAATTGAAGTGAAAAAGAATTGAAGACTTGCATATGGAAAAATGTAGGTTTTATTTATTTTTGTCAGTAATACATCACATAATTAACAAAAATGTTGTTCAGTACTTTTAAAAAGAGGGATTCAAAGAAACAATCATAAAAATCAGATTTGCTCAGTGAGTCTCTAAAAAGCAGTTTTGGGTTAATGTCCATATAAAAAAAAGACAAAAATTAAGAAAACATTGCCATATAAAACATTTTTTATGTTTGTGACCAAACAGTAGTAGCATTAATGAACACATCAAGGACTAAAAGTAAAAACACAAATAGAAAACGAAGGACAGCCCCGCTTTCAGAGCAGCCGTACCGTCGTTTTTTCAAGGCAAAGCCAGATCTTTCCTGGAAGTGTGGTGCCACTGGGACTTTGGCCTCAATGGTGGGGAGGGGAGTCAGCGGAAAACCCATCCCAAGGTCCGCTGATGACGAGTTCAACCAAACTCCAGCTCCCTGATGCAGGATTTACGAGGAGTCAAGGATCGATCTCCACTGGAACGACGGTGAGGATGGCGTCCTCGTTGCCACGGCGAACCACCACTTTTAAGGTGTTCTCCCTCTTGATGACGGTGCTGACATCTGTCGCTGTGGAGATCCGCTGGCCGTTGATGGAGATGATGACGTCGTGCTCCTTAAGTCCACCGCTGGGAGGAGCAAAACAGAATGACTTATTGAGCGTTTCAGAAATTGGAAGCACATGTTGTTAGGAGCAACGAGAGGTTCACAGGTCTGACGAGCTGAGTGACATGACAGTTTGGTGCCGACAAGGTAAATGAGACAGGATGAGTCGGCCAATAGCTTTTTATTTCATTTTCTACCACTTTTACCCTCATTTCCAGCCACTTTTGCACCAATATTTGCAAAAATAACACAAAAAAATTGAAAAGGTTCTATTGATTTGTGCTCAGTATGCACACTGCCAGTTTTCAAGTTAAAGAATTTAAGAGTAAAACTGCCCAAAACTCGCTCTCATCAGAATCATCTAGTGTTCAATGAAGCGCTGAGAAATTCTGAGCACAGTTAAGAGATTTAATCATTGCAGGAAGTCCTGGGGCTGGCTTTAGGCGTCCTCTTGAAGGGACACGTTTGACACACCTCCCCTGGGGGGCATCGGGATCAGATGCTCAGTCCACCTCAAGCATCTCCTTTTGATGCAGAAGCAAATAGATTTTACCCTTTAAATCAACTGAAATTAGAAGTTTTTGTAATTTTTTAGCAAGAATTTGTAAAATACAGCTCGTTTTTCTGCCAAATAAATCTCTGCAAGTCATCCTTTTTTAAACCCTTTTTGTTAAAATGTCTTGCTTGAATAATGAATGTCTCTAGTGCTGTATACTTTAGTGGAGAGGAAAGAAACAGAATAATTTAATCAAACACAGGAGAGTTTTGTTTTAGGTGTGTTTACATGCCATGCTAAATCAATGACACCGTGTTGTAAGAAATTTAATGACATGGCAATAATCCATTGATAGCCTAGAAAGATTGAAATAATTTATTTCAAATACATAGTGGCCAACCAGACTGCTATAATGCAAAAAGCTCTCCAACGAGGCTAAAATCACACAAAGCAACGGAGTAATCAGCAGAAAATGGCTGCTTAATCACAGCCACATGTCAACCACACCTTCACTTTCAACAGCATCCGTTAATGTTGCAGCAATCAAGTGCTGCTCTCATTATTCTCAGCTGCTACAGCAGCAGCGCAGCAGATGAAGAGCTTTCTGCATCGCAGTCAGGATTTACAAAGGCCACGAGCCAACACGACTCAGAGAGAGATCAAAAGCACGAAAAGGCATCGAGAAAAAAAAAAGATCACAGAGTATAAAAGGAACCACAGAAATGGTGTTGTGCAGAAAGCCGTGATTTAGGTGAAGAGTAAACTCAGACAAGGCCTGGTAGGAACAGGGCTAATCCGTAGCGGACTGAGAGAGCAGGCCCAGGAAACCACAGCGCAGCTTGTGGCCTCCCTGCATGAGGTTTGAAGGAAACAGCTGACCTCAGCGTCTCCCAGTGCTCCACTCCGCTGATGCTGGCTGATTGGATGGGCTGTGATTGTGGGAGGAAGGGGATATTTTAGCAGAAGAGCGCGGCAGAGTGAGCTGCGAGTCCTAGCAGGACCGATGGGTGGGTGTGGGAAAGACCAAAGAAAATATCTCCAGGTTTAGAGAGTCAGGGTCAACTTTTGTCCTCACCTCACATGAAAGACATCATTCCTAATGCATAACGTTATCTCTGATATACCAGCGAGCACCAGTGTTTTCCTTACATTTCAGCTGGAGTTTTTGCTATGACCTCCATAACGTAAGCTCCCGAGGTGATATCAGGGAAGTCCCGGTGTTGAGTCTTGAGCTCTTTGGCCAACCTAAAGTAGGAAGAAAACTTAGTAACCAAGTTTTAGCGCTAAAGGACGTTTTAATAAATATAACCACTATCCTAACGTAATGTACGTGCTGAATGCAGTAATGACAATGTGCCACGAATGAAGAAACTTACACTGGAGTGAGGGTCATCATTCTCACACCTATGTACTTCTTCTTTGCATCTGTTCTCCCTAAAAAGCAACAAAACAGAAGGAATGAAACAGAAATATCACCTGACATCAGACCATCTTCATCATGCATCATCTTAGACAAAAGGCAAAGCAATGTTTACATTTGCAAATCCAGATGTGCATACAGAAAAACGGTTTTACTTCCAGACTGTTTTTGATCACAAGTCACTTTCATTTTAACTCATTTCTTTGGGTTTTAACAAGGAAAGACATTTTTTTTGTTTGATTTAGGAAAAAAAATAAAAATAAACAATACTTGGGTTTTTTCTACACTTGCAAAAGTACTTTCCTTATTGGCTAACAATTCGCAGACAAATGAAACCACAACACGTTGGTTGAGCGATTGTTAGTTTTTAAATTTCCAGCAACTAAATTATAATTGTGGCTTTTGTCAACACTTATGATGCCATTTGTCCCTAAATCTCATCTTTAAATGACTTCACAATCAGCCATGACTTGAATGTGAACCATGAGTTATTTTATCATCATATTGACGCATCAGTCAGGAGGAATCAGGAAATTGGAAGATGCATAATGAACACAAAGAACATGAGCAATACAGAATATAAAAAAGATGATAAAATAAAAACTTTTTAACCAAATTAGCTCATATTCATAACTTCATAGAGCTGGAAATGAGGCATGGATTTTGTATGACTGGCTTGGGTGTCATACTGCACTCGAGTGCACACCGGTAGTGTCGGCAGCGAAGCGGCTACTCTGCCGTGCTCCTCGCTCGACTCGCGAGATCACAAAATCCCTCGAGACTTCAAAGGTTACGATTTGTTTAGGTCACACGTAAGCTTCATGTATATGACATTTCTTTGCTGCAATACTTTTATTTTGAAAATTTCCAGGGATTTTACACTGTAATTTGCGTGTGTGATTTCCTGTCTAGCCCTATGTTAACTGCGGTAATTGACACATCCTGGCTCGCGGGAAAATTAGAACCCGATTCAATCTTTAGCGGCGCGGCGTGCCACTTCTGGGCCTCTTCTGGAAATTTCTGCGTTGTGGCTGTTTTTTTTACACTTCACTGACTATAATGGATTCTATTTGAAGCACTGATGCTTCCAGTAGGGGTAAAGAGCTGCGTTTACATGTGCCAAATTTCCTCAATCCGATTGAAATCTTGGTTGATCGGAATTTCCGAATCTCTGTTCACATGGAGACGAACTGAAATGATCCGATCATGCCGTGCGTACATACGCACCAAGCATTTAATCCGATTAAATAGGTTGAGCATGTGCAGAGTTGCCTTTCCCGAAAGAAAAATTGTAAACAAACGCCATGAAACGAAATGAAAAATGTAAAAACTGAAATAACTATTCTTCCTGCTTTCCTGATCCATTTATTCAATTTAATATTTTTATTTAGCTCATAGAAGTTACGTTTTCTTCAGTGAATAACTGCAGATATATGCTTTGCTGCATTTTATTGTTGATTAAAATAAGGGAGGGTTATGTTTCTGCCTCTTGATCAGCTGGTCCGCGGGTCTGAAGTGACAGCTGAGCGGAGAGGCCCGCTCGCTGTTGCACACATGCGCAGTGAGCATTATTTTACCCCAACAATCCGAATGGCTGTGTACATGCACGTCAATCGGAATGAAGAACGGAATAAACCACCTCTCTCAATCAATCCGATCGGGCCGAATCGGATCAGAATATTCCGATTGACATGTTTACATGCAGAATTTTCGATCTGATTGGGCATTCAATCCGATTAAATATGCGCATGTAAACGTGGCTACTGACACCAGTCAGTGACTCGATTTTCTGGGTTCCTTACATAGGAAACTTTTTACTGAATGGCTTAATGAACTAAACTGTATTGGAATGTTTACGCTGTTAAGTGACTTGAGACGACTCTTGTCGTGATTTGGCGCTATATAAATAAACTGGATTTATTTAATTTAGAAAATGGGGATAAGAGGGTGTGATACTGAGGGATTGCAATCCTACTAGAGCAGGTGGATAGTTGAATATCTGACTGAAAAGAAGAAATGTGGTTTTCATCCTGGCTGTGGAACCGTGGACCAGATCTTCACCCTCTGACCAACCGGACCACGTGTTTTGTTGATCATGAGAAGGGGGTGGGTGGTCCTAGAGCAGCTCAGTCATTGCCCCAAAGGAGTGCAAGTCTGATCTGCATGGCTAGCAGTAAGTCAGAGCTATTTCTGGTGAGGACTGGACCTCAGGACTACACAACCTCAACCCAGACAAGGGGAAGATGATGAGGTAGGAGTGCATGGTACATGCATGGAAATTTGGTAAAACTTTTAAAAGGACAGCAAAAAATGTAAAAAAAATAAATAAATAAATAAATAATAAAAATGTTTTAAACAGGAAAAAGTTGCAACTAAATAACTATTTTCTACTGATTATTCAGATGAAATTGCGGCTCTTATCATCTTACCGTTGCAGTTAAACGACAGGAGCTGTGTTAGTAAGACTTTGTTACCTCTGGACTGCCTGTCATACGATTCGGCCAAAAACTGTCGAATCTTGTCTGATGGGATGGCAAAGGAAATGCCTGCTGTCACTTTCAATGTGTTGATCCCAATCACTTCACCGTCCTGAGATCAAAGGTCAGTTAAAATTCAAATGCAACACATCGTCGAGTCGTCAAAAGTAAAAATCTGGCTTACCAGATTCACCAGAGGCCCTCCAGAGTTTCCGTACTGCGAACCCACATGACACCAAATTATTGCCGTTTGTCTTTAAACATAAACAATGCTAATGCACCTTGTAGTATTTACATTGATAATGGCATCAGTCTGGATGTAGTCCATATCGGAGTTGCGGAGGCCCAACTCTCGGCCTCCTCGCTGAGTGGTGCTGACAATGCCAGTAGTGACCGTGTTCTGGAGGGAAAACGGGCTTCCAATAGCAACCACAAACTCCCCTGGTCTCAGGTCTGACGAACGGCCCAACAGCAGCACTGGGAGCTTGTTCTGCAAAATGAAAAGATGAAGCAACAAATGACCTAAACAAGAATTTGAATAACAAGCAGCTAAGCCATGTTGCATGAGTAGCAAGCTAGTGTAATTTTTGCTGCATGAACACCTAATGTTCAAAAGTACAGATATTCTCATCAGTCCTGATTTTCTATCCTTTCATGCTTTCAAGGTAAAGCAGGAGGACAAATAGGGTGAAAAGCTCTGAAATTGGCTAGTAAGCACTGTGTTAGCTTTAAATGAGCAGCCTGAATGACTTGCTAGCTAGGCTAAACAAACAAACAAAAACAAAAGTCCTCTCCTGCAGAATGAGTCGATACATTTCATTTTAACCTCATTTTGATGCAACTGATCAAGAGCTGATGTTTTTAGCCTACAAATCTAAACAGATCACAGCAGAAGGCAAAAGGGTTTTGCCTATCTAGCATCGGTTTTGTGGGCTGGATGTTACAGCGATGGAGCGAAACAACAAAGATAGCGACGACTTCTGAAACGGCTTTGGCATCAACTTTGGAGTATTTAGACATGGGGTTTTCTTTGAGTTAAGAGCAGATAGAAGTCATTTGTTGAGAACAAGGATGTATTTGAGTTTTCTTCGACAGTGTAAGGCAGACTGCCCCGTAGACTAATGCCCGGATCACACTGTGTGATTTTTGGCCGTCTCACAGGATGGTTCATGTCACACTGTGAGAACTCCGGAAAGGTATCACACTGTATGACGTCTCTCTCCAGCAGGACACGCTGCGTCACGAGCACACCTCCTGAAGCATATGTCACTAAGCAGACCACTAACCAAAACAAAGCTGAAAAAATAAAAGCACTTCTTTTTAGTGTCAGTTTGTCTTCCTCAAAGAGGAAGCTTCGTTTTCAAAACCCTCACTTTGGCATCAGTTTCTGGCTGCGGGTCTCCTTTTCCTGTCTTCCAGCTAGACAGCCGCTGTCAGCTGGTCATTCATCCTTCTCCTCCTTTATACACAAGAACCCACTAAACTACAGACAAGCTGCAATATTTAAAGTTTAGCCACAAATTCTGTCTCACTAAATGTGACAGCTCACACCCGCTGTCGCGAAGCTTCCTCTGTCCCTCTGCAGCAAAACGCTACTGAACCATCCTTACCGGTTGAATGTGTGAAATTTCCACCAACGGCAAAGGGATCTCATGTTTTTGTGTTTAATTTTTCATGTTGGTGAGCTCATCTCCTCTCAGCTCTCACAGATCACACAATCACGGCTTTCAAAATGTATCTGATGGTTTAAAAGGTAAATTAACTATTTTAAGTATAACTCCAGTTTAACTTGGGCTTTGGACAGAAATAGCTAGTGTGTAGTTTATAATCTGCATTTTAAACATAAATTGAAACCAAAGCTCAGAGAGGCGGAGTCTTGCTGCTGCGGCGTCCCAAAGGTGTGCTTTCATTGGTCGACTGCAGACAGGAGAAGCAGGTTTTCAAGCCGTGCTCGAAGACTGTTTGAGGCTGATTTGATCGTGAGACGGCTCAAAAAGCTGTCGCAGAGCCGGTCAGCTGGTACGTTCACAGCATGGTGCGCATCTATGCAAATCGCCCTGACGTTGACAGTTTTTTATAGTCACGATTCTGTTCAGGACAATGGATTTGGCCAAGAAGGCCAAAAATCGCACAGTGTGATCCAGGCTTAACATTTGTAGCAGTGAGTACATCATGTCTGTTGTCCAATAGCATGCAGAGACAGTTTTCAAGACAACCATTGATTCCGCCCCACGACTGAGCTCTGTCTATGGGTCGTGGCCAGACTATAGGGTGACTTGCTAGGCTAGATGTTTTTAGCATTCTCACTTTAAATGTGTTCAAAATCCACAAAACAAAACACTTTCGTACCAAGCAGAGCTCGAAAAAGGAATCATAAAATTAAGTCCTTTTCTACTGAAGTCCCCCCAAGAGCCTCAGACTTCTCATGATCATCCGTTTTATAAGTGGACACTTTGGATAATTACAGCTAAACCACAAGTCTCTTACACCCACTGCTGCAGGCCTGCATTCCCACGCTGAACAATTCCTCTCAACACAGCACAGGGAGAAGTGACTTTCATGCCAAACAAGTCAAAATACAAACAATCAAAAGCAGAAGCTCATTTGCCCCAAAAAGTGGAGCTCTGCTGATGTTTTCTAATGGCAAAAGGTGACCCCACCCTCTACCAATGCTCCAAAACTGTCTTAGTGATTTAGCAAATAATGAGTACCTTAAGTTTGTGTTAGGTCTGTTTTACTGAGAGGTTTCCTATGCAGAGAAACACAAGCAGGATTTAATTACGTATCTGCAGTGACAGCTTCATTCTCTAATTGAAATAGCCTTGCAGAGCAGCTCAGAGTTGGAGTTGTGGTAAATCACTTTTATTGTGAACAGTTTGTGCACAAACAGAAACCATCCAATGGTCTTCCTGCTTTTGAAAAACGGCTGAGCTATAAATAGTCAAGGTGAAGGCAACAGAGTAACAGAAAATCTGTGAAATTGACCAAAAATCACAAATAAATCAAATATTACGTTATTTATAAAATATTGTTAACATGAGAAATTCAATTTTTTGATTTGTTTGTTGTTTACAAAAAAATTAATCAGATTTTTTATTTTTACTTTAACTTGCAGATCCATTACTTGGAAAAGCCCATCTTCTTATCTTATTCAATACTTTGCTAAACTGAAAATAAATAATAAATAAAATTATTGAAATAATGATAATGTTTGAATACTAACTGTTAATGTTTTTATATTAACATAACATACATTAAATCATGACTTTTATTTACTAAATTGAATTAAAAAAACAAAAAAAATTCTTTAAAGGGTAATTTTAAAAAATGCATTCTGACAAAAAAAAACATGTTAATTTAGCGTTGGTGAACAATCTTGACCCTTATAAACAAAGTTGACCGGTAATTGTAACTTTTTTAAACTTTAAACACTATCTCATCTCTTCACACACAGATTGAAAACCAAAAACACAAACATATAAACACACACAGTGTCCAAGGCTGCGTTCAGATTCTTGTTAGCTCGTTTGAATGTAACCACCTACACACTAGATGAAGAAGTGCACACACTGATAAGGAAAATCTAAAAAAAAAAATCAGAAATAAATCAGACACCTGGCACAGGAGCAGCTGTCTGCATCATCACCCTCAAGCCCCCAAGAAAAAAAAACCACACACAGCTGAGAGACAAAGAACGTCAGGTGAATTACTAACATCTACAACTTTTGTCATTTACCAACTTTATTTCATCTAGTCTTCATGAAATCTGAAAATTTAAATAAACATAAGCTGTTCTCCTCCCAGAAAGGCCCACCAAAACAAAATCACCCACACAAAGTCACACTGCTTTCTGAACAAATCGTGCACATAGGGTGCAAAATGCAGACGTTGGCTGACCAGCAGCCCAAGCCTATGTGAGAAGGCAGAACAAACACAAAACAGGCAGACTTCAAAACATTCAAAAAAGCACCTTTGCTTATGTATCACTTCCTAAATGAACACTAGTCAGCAATCTGGAATGACTTGTGGAAAATCCTCTCGCCATGCGAGTCTGCCTCTGCTGACCACCCAAGTGACTCACTGAGTTATTTCAGACGAAGGTTACGGCGCGCTGCTGCTTCATTATAAAGGACGGAGGCAAGGTTAAGGGAACAACAAGAACCACAAGCCACATGGAGAGAGCGTGAGAATGTGAGAAAAATAGCAGCAAACAGTTTGGTTTGACGTTATGTTGATGCACAGTGTCGACAAAAAAAGCTCAAGAACTAGAAAGTTTCTAGTGAAAGGGCTATAAAAATGTACTTTTGAAAACAAATTCAAAAGTAAACCATGAACTTTTTAAAAGCCATTTCTGATGTGGTTGATGAAGGTAACAAAATCTTTCTATAATTAAGATAACTGCTGCTATTCGGGTCACAAAAAGATTAAAAGGCTTTAGTATTCGAAAGTTTGGATAAAAATTGGTTTGGCGTCAGATTAAGGAAGAGTTTCTGTTTCAGTTTAGTTCCAAGTGAAAACAAAACCCTAGTTTTAGCACAATTTTAGTACTATTTTAAAGGAGAAATATGTAAGGATTCTGCTGTGAAATAATCACAAAAGTAGTGTCTTAATGGCATTGGAAGGAAGGTTACCTTGTAACTGAACAGTTATTTTTTTTTTCTCTTTTATAAAAAAACTAAAGAGGGACATAGTTCCTGGTTGCCATGTCTCTGGCCAGCTAATGCTGCTGCACTGGTATTTGTAATTTGACACCAGCAGGCAAAGAGCTCCAGAGTTGTTTAAAGATTTGAGGCCAGTAAACCGGAGCGACCCAGAAGTTATTTCTTGTATCCCTAAAGCCGAGTTCACACTAGGATCAGCGGCATGGAACGGTAGCGGAACGTCGCTGGTTCAAATAGAATCTATTATAGTCTATATAGGGTTGAGCTAAACCGGTCGTGGTGCAGAACTTTTCAGGTGTGTCCCAGAAGCAGCACGCTGCGCTGCTCAAGATAGAATTGGGCCCTATCTTTGCCATGAGCCGTTTCTGGGATGAGTCTATTTCCACAGTTAGCATAGGAATACACACAAAATCACACACGATATCAGTGTAAAATGTCCCATAATTGTCAAAATAAGTCTATTGCAGGAATGCAATTTCTCATCTATGTTGATTACTTCTATGCTGTACGTGTGACCTGACAGCTAATTAACTACCGGCATCTTTCCAGAACTGCAACAGTGTGTTTTTCATGGCTTTAATCCTGGCAGTGGAGAGGAACAACATCATGGCTGATGGCTTAAACAAACTGTAACCTTTGAAGTCTCGAGGGATTATGTGATCTCACGAGTCCAGTGAGGAGAATGCAGAGATGCTGCTCTGTGGCTGAGACTCCCCCAGTGTGGATTGATGCGCCGCAAAGCACGTGAGTAAACCGTCCCACCCCACAGATTCCTCCAGTGTAGACCCAACATAGGAAACTACATCTTTTTGTTTCAGTCTAAGTATCA